GACAGCCCAGTTAAGCCTAGGGTTCTGTCTTATGCCCAGACTGATCAGGTTGCAGTAGAGTTTTGTAGGATTGTGTTTCTTTTTTTCCTGTTGAGTGGGGCGGGAAGGGGGCTCGGTATGTGGAGGAGGGTAGTCATGGCTCGGGCTGGGATGCAGAGAAGGTCTGAGAGGTGTGCATTCTGCAACAGTCTTGCCCTCTTGCTGCCAGAAAGCTGGGTCGGGGGGAAGGGTAGAGGGACAAGTACAAAGATCTTCCTGTCTTGTCTCTTGGGGGTAAACGGACACGCGGTTGCCTGTGTCTGTAACACTTCTGCGTCTAGTTTCTCTCCGTGGGAGACCACCTAGCTGGAAAAAGGCTTTTAAATATAAGAAGGGCACGAGAACATTCTCGGATTAGAGTGACTGACGGAAGATGCTTCTTGGAGGACAGGTTTTCTGAAGGACCAATTTTGATTTTTAAATCTTTACTTTTAGAGTACAGACATTCTCTGGTACATTTTTATGTATCGTATTGCCCTGTAAAATAGGATTCATATTAAATATATTTGGTTTTGGTTTAATTCCCACTAATCTAAAGAGAGAACAAGCTCACAGGTAGTTTGTGTTTACAAGCGTTTCTTGTTCTTTTTAGAGGTCTACAGAAAGACTTAAACTCTCTGTTTTGCTAGGAAAACGAGTCAATGTCAAGATGTGTTAAATTGTCTTTTGTGCTATACACAACCAATAAAAATAAATGTAAGCTAGTAAGGTTGTGTACATGAATGTATTGGAGTGTGTTTGCAAATAATTTTTTTTTTCAGTTAGTGGGAACTCGGTGTAAAAGTCAGCATTGCATGATTTTGAATTTTATATGGAGAGGAAATGTGAGCTGTATGTTTCCAATCAGATACAAACCGTGTGGTGGAATTAAAGCTCTTCAGAATATTTTAACCTGCATCAAAGTCCACTGAGAATTTAAAGTACTTGCTCAGTATGTGTTTATAACTGAAGATTTTTATTTCCTATATTGGAATCCTACTGTTGCCTCATTGTTTATAGGTTTACTTAAATTCATGTCTGGACTTTTAATTTTAAATGCATCAGGCAATTTGTCGTTCTACTGGCAAAAATTTTGTGTACAAGGCATTACCTTACGTACAAGGCAGTTACCACTTGTCTGGGAACTGTTCTCTGGTGTTTCTAATGAGTACTTTGTGTTGGTTTCCATTTGGGGTGTCCTGTAGTGTATCCAGGAAACATGCTGAAGCTGTTCTTGTGTTTCACTGGCTGTTGGTAGGGTCTGCTGTCCTGGGTGCGCTGTTTAAAGAGCGAAGTAACAAAGCTGTGTCCTACTTTGTTCAGAGAGAGGGAGAACAAATGTGCCTTGGGATAAAAATAGTGATTGTTTTAAGGTGTGGTTGTATGAAACAGGTTTGTATACGAAGTGTTTCAAACAGAAAACAATGTAATTGCTGTGAAAAACAGCATGTTGTTCTGTGAGAGCCTGTTACAAGTGGTTAAGGATAGACTTTCAATATTATTTTAATAATAGCATATTAGGAATATTATCTGCATAGCTTGAATATTATCTGCATAGCTTGATTTAAATGCTCAAGAAATCAGATTATTTTTTGTAGTTTCTTATATCCTGGAATAAGAAAGCTAATAATGATGAGCAAAATTATGTACGTGAGATTTGCCTTTGGTAATAGCTGTATTAGTCATGTTGACAGCCCAGTTAAGCCTAGGGTTCTGTCTTATGCCCAGACTGATCAGGTTGCAGTAGAGTTTTGTAGGATTGTGTTTCTTTTTTTCCTGTTGAGCCTGTGATTTTGAAGCATGAGAGTTTAAATGTCCTGATTTTTCTATTGACTCTGTGGTGAGCAAATCTTTGAGCTGCAGATCTGTTCCTAGGAGTTAGCTATGTGACTTCCCATCTTCCTTCCTCCATCCAGTTAAACTGCAGTTTGCATCCAGTTTTTAACTGCTTACAGATAAATTACTTGTTGACAAATGCAGACTGTCAGGTTTACAGGAGTGGTATTGGAATGGTTGAGTGAAAATAAGAGGTTGCTATATGTAGAAAGAAATGTTGGTCTGTCCCAATGGGGGATTCATTGCAAAAATATAATTTTCACAGAAAACAAAAGAAACCGAAAGTGTGAAGATTAACTCAGTTGTTCATTACGTTTACTAGTTGTGGAGAAAACAAAGCTAGTGGGTGGTTTTTTTTTTGCTCCCATACAGCTATTCCACGTTATGTGTACTGCAGTGGCAGTAGGGAAATAAAGATGGAAGCTTTTTATACTGTTGTTTCAACCACTGAAAACTATATCATGATCACTTTTTGCTGGACTCTGTGATACTACAACCAAAACGCTGAACATTTTTGCTGTCTTGGTGGACTTAGACTTGATAGAATATTACAGTTTCATGAAGGCAACAGCTTCTTACAGCACCTGTCGTCTTTATCTGGATGATTTAAAGACTTAATTCTGGGCTTGTATCCAGCTGTAATGATGTCAGGACAGTAAGAACTTTGTATGTGACCGAGTATTCCAGCCTGCAAGTCTTTTTGCTCTTTTCATCCTATGTCTCATATATGTCTTCTCTGATGTCATGTAAATTATTTAGTTATTTTGAGGTGTAGAAAATAAGAAGGAAGTATTTCTAGCACACTTGGAAAGCTCGTGTTTTGAGTGCTGTTTTTTTCATCTGGATGTCTGAGCTGCTTAGGGAGAAACTTCTAGTAAACAGCTGAAAAGTAAAGTCAGCTTTACTCATTTGCAGCAGCAACAGTGCACTTGAGTGAATTGAGGTTTGAATTGTAGCAGTGAACTCTGACTACTGTCTTTAGGTGATGTTGCCTGAATGTGGGTTCTGAAGAAAAGCAAAGACAATGGATGTGCGTTCCACACTTGGTGAATTCTTTTTGAATGGCAAACTAATTGCCTTTTCCATTATAATAGCAGGAAAAAATTGTGGTTTGGACAAACTGAATGTTTGAGCTGTTTTCACTTGTCTGACAAAACTTCTTTACTTGCTGCTGATGGATTTGTACTACTGTTTTTTCTTGTGGATAGAGTAACACAGATGTTCTAAAGCAGCACATGCATATTTTCAAAATGGAAAATTCTTCTAAAAATATGAGGCAT